ATATGGTGCCATATTAGATGCGGGGTAGATTTTGGGCTCGGTACGTAGTTAAAGTGGGTGAGTCGTCACCTGCGCATGCGTCAGATGGCAATAGCGTGTCATTGTTCATAAACAAGCGTCTATCCATGATCCTTTGCGTTTTTAGCGCGTGTTGTTATCGTCACCTGAGACTCAATTCGCGCACGTGCGCAGGTGACGACCCTCTCGCTTTAAATTGACATCTCTTTCATCAACATGGCGCAATGGATTGCTCATTGTTGTATTATGCATGTATTCGAGCTTAATACTGTTACATGGTGCAATTTAAACGTCAAATTAAGACTTCGACATTTTTTGGTGTTGTCGGACACGCAAAGATAGATAATATATGTTTCCAAAAAACGTACCACAATAATATCTGTAAACCAATGTGTACTTCCGTAACTCCATAGTATGTAATTCAAGGAGTTTTGCTTGTAAAGAGTTGATGCTTCACGCAGTTGTTGCAATCGGCAACTTGTACGCTCTCTCGGTTTCCACGTGCATTTACACATGTGCACTCTTGTTTGAATAAGGAAGCTAACTGCTACCCGAAGTTAGCACGCAACTCATGGCGGATTGTCTGCTGTTCGGCGTCCATACCACTAACTCACAGCCTATCAAACGTCGACCAAGTTTAATCACTTCTTGGTTTCAATTTGGGAGAAATGGTGATTTACACTTAATAGTAACAAGATAGACACAACAATTGTGTAGCATTCTAGGGAAAAATTAGCATATCCTCGGGGGCGGAGCTACGTCACGGACGTTCTACGTTGCTAAGACGCGCACCACTGTACCACGTATTTCTATGGGCTTTGTGTGCGCTGCTGTGGAACGCCGGTGGAGCCGGTGAAAACTCGAGAAAACAACACAAACTCAACTTTGAAGTAATCCTGAACAACCAAATTCATATATGTTACACACGTAGGGCTAATCTTATTACACTGTTCAGGGGACTCTCAACAACCATCGCAAAGTACCGTTTTCTGCGAGTTTTTGGTCTTTGTTTTCACCGCGAGGGTTGCCAGGCAGTAGAAAATGACCGGATGTCCGCCCCCGAGGATATCACCGATATATGGGAAAATTAATCACTTCGCTCGAACATTCTCCGACAAAATGACCTACAAGTACAAAACACCCAGCGCACTCCAATAATATATTGGTTTCGTGTTTGTCAAATACTAAGGGATGAATAAATGTAGTGTTCTACAACTGTTTGGTGCGGAAAATCGAATTTATTCAGTAATATTGTTGCATTATGATCAGAAAACTACACAGGCAGTGGAATGTAATCTCTGTTTGACGTCACTTTAAATAAAAAAGCAAGGAGCTCTTTAAATATTCCAAACTATGCAAAT